GACATCGAAACGGTTGCGAGTCCAATGCACGTAGCTTCATACTACATAATCCGTCCTCTGGGGCTGCAAACATGAAGCCAAGAAACCTTCCAGCCTTAAAGTTACCCAGTCCGTGGCAATATCGGAGGACAAGGAACTGCACCCTCGACAAGCCCTTCGACCGCCTCCAGCGGAGTTGTTGAGACTCTATGAAGTCTCGACAGTAACAATTCGCCTAAAAATACGCTTCAATGGACCCAAATATATATACTTGGCGTGGCTTGCACTTCCTCCCCCAGCACACGGGTATGGCGCCACGAATCGTGGCCGTGCAGTCGGCAGCACGTCCCGGACAGTCGGTGGATCTTGTCGAGATGATCCAGCCACCGACGTTGGCGCTGGCCCGCGCCAAGCACGTCATATCGGCGCTCTACTTTGCCCTCACGGCGATGGTGTATGTGTCGTCGACGTCAGAAGAGCAGCACTCCGTCCACGTCTACGCTCCGGGGGCGATGATCGGGATCAACTTGCTGTTGACTCTCTTGCACCTGTACGGATTTGGCCGTACGTATGGGTATTTTACTTGTCTCCGCCTTCACATTATGATGGCTCGACCGGGATATCGACGGCGGTGGCGGCTCCCCAAGGCCGTCGAGCTTCCGCTCATTCACACGATTGACGTCGTGTGCCAGTCGTATCAAGCGTATCGCATGTCGCTGCACATGGTGAACCGCATCCAAGCGTTTGTGTTTACCGTCACGATGAGCCTCTACTGCCTGGTTACCCCATGGTTCCTCATGGCCCGTCACGGCTACGTCCGACAGTCGGCGGTGCTCATTGTCAACAGCTTCCTCGGGTTCTTTCTCTCCGTGGCGTTCCCGATGTGCACATTTCTTATCCCAATCATCCGCCTCCTCCTGGTTCGACGGCTCCAAAAGCATGACAAGTACGTAACCGAGACACTGCTGCTGGGCCGTCACATGGTCGTGTCGTCGCTGGGCGACTTGATCTCGAAAACGACGATTCAACTCTCGAGCTACATCGCACTGCGTCGACTGGTCGAGTCAGTGGACCCAGTCAAGTCAGTCGCGTCGACCGCGATGTCCACAAAAGAGCTGCGCCGACCGAGCGGGTGGAATCGCATCCGCGTTTATGTGCGGACGCCACGACGGCTCCTGGTTGTGTACGTCGCCGCGAACGTTGCGTGGGGCGTTGCGTTGATCGCGCTGACCACGGCAGCGACTTTCTTCCGCACCGAATGTCCACTTGCCACATGTGCACTCGATGTCGCGCCGTGGTTCGACTTGACGTGCCACTGCGCGTACGTCGAGATAAACTGCGCCACGACCGGGGAGATCGCCGGCGACACCATCGACCATCTCCTTGACGCACATGTGATTGGGACATCCGTCTTTTTCCTCGACATTCGGCGGTGCCCCCTGCCCCATGGCATTGCGATGACCACACTCACACCGTTCCATCAGCTGCACGCAATCTTCATCTACTTTAGCAACATGACCGACTGGCCCATGGACGACATCACGTTTCCCTCCACGATGACGGCACTGCACATCCGGGGCAGCCAGTTAAGGACGCTCCCCCCGGTCCTGTCGAACCTCCCTCCGTCACTGGTATACCTTCGTGTGCAGGACAGTCCCATCGACGCTCTTCCCGACGTTTTCCTCGACGCGTGGATGGCGAGGCTGTCATCGCTGACCCTCGCAATGCTACATCTGACGTCGCTGTCGCCGAGATTGACTTCGATGGCTCACATTGCATTGCTCGACTTTCGAGGCAACAACATTTCGACCCTGCCACGTCAATGGACAGCGACAGGCGGGAACGAAACGACCTCGATCGAGCCTCTTTTCTTGGCTAGCGTCGACCTCAGTGCCAACTCCATTGTTGACGGACCCTGGGCACTTGTGAACGAGAACAGGGTATCCCTTGAGCTGAGCTCGAACCCCATCTCGTCGATTCACGCGACTACTGCCGCGGAGACACTCGAAACTCGACTCGTCGTCGTGGACGACACACCATACTGTCGTTCGTCCGACGCGGGAAGCTACTGCCAAGTCAAGTGCGCGCGACTGTGCCTGGCCACCATGATCGGAGACTTCCGATGCGACTATGAGTGCTACAACCCGTCGTGCGATTTCGACGGTGGTGACTGCGATGGGTTTGGATTCGACTGATTCACGTTTCCAGAGGCAGGCACGGCCATGGCAAGCGACACCCTTCACATGCTGTCGTCGGTAATCGCAACGTACTCGGAACATGATGCGGAACACGAGCAGAAAGCGCTGGCGAGATGATGTTGGCTTAGCTTCGACAACTACGCTTCGTAATTTATGTCGTCTTGACGATGCAGACAAACGTTGCCACAGTTTACGTTTTGGAGGGGACGTCACCCACAGCGGTATGTCGAGTTCGGTTCATTCGCATGATGCCAACGGTCATGATGCCAAAGGACGATGTAGAAGTCTGCCGTGGGAGGAACAACCATCCGTGCGTTCCGATCACACATGAACACATAGCCACCTTGCTCGGCCAACTCTTGCCGCCATTGTCGGAAGGTATGCAGTAGAGACTGCCGTCGATCGAGGTGGTGCCCGCGGTGCGAGCCATCCCTCCCTTATCCTTTCGAGTAGAACCCTCAACAACTTCGCAAACGTGCATGGAATTCTCAACCGATCCTGCATACGACGATGACGATAAATTTATCCACGCCGTTACGTGCCAGTCATATCTACTCAAGTTGCCGCCATTTCCGTCCAAGCATGCCAACCCGTGCCGTCGCCGTGCGGCAGCTTCACCGCCGAGGGTCTTCGGAACTTGCAAGCGTGATCCAGACACCCACATATGCCCTCGCTCGGACGAAAGATTTGATTTCGGCCGTCTACTACGCTATCACGTGCGGCGTGTACGTCGGGGCGAACGCGCAGCAGCAGAGCGTGCTTCACGCGTATGCCCCGCCCGTCGTGGCAACCATAAACTTCGTCATGGCGTTATTACACGTCTACGGAATGGCGCAAACGTTTCGCCTTCCGTCCCGTCGAAAGCGGTGTTGCGGGCGGCACATCGATCTTCTCAAGAAGTACTTGCCGCGGCGATCGATCCAGCTGCCGCTTTTCCATGCCATTGATGTCCTGTGCCAGTCGTATCAAGCATACCGGCTGTCCTTTTTCATGGTCCACCGTGACCAAGCATTCATCTTCACCATCGTCGTGAGCCTCTACTGCCTTGTGACGCCGTGGTTTCTGTTCGCCCGCGATAGTTTTGCACGTCAGTCGACCATCCTCCTGCTCAACAGCGCCCTGGGCTTCTTCCTCTCGGTGGGCTTTCCGCTGTGCGCGTTCATCGTGCAAATGATCCGCCTCCTCGCGTACGACCACGCATCGAAGAAACCCGACAAGTTCCTGGCGGCTACCGTCTTGCTGAGCCGTCAAATGGCCGTCTCGTCGCTGTCGGACCTCGTCACGAGAACCATCACGCAGCTCTCGAGCTACGCCGCCCTCCGACGACTCGTCCAGTCAGTCCAGATTTTCCCATCGCTGCAATCCACGTCGACGTCCGTGAGGGAGCCACCGCAAAAAATCCGAGAAAGCTTTCATCTGACATTTCGATCCCGGCGGCCGCTCATCGTGTACCTCATGGTCAACATCGCGTGGGGCACGTCGCTAGTGTCCTTGACGACGGCGGCTACGTTCTTTCGTACCCCGTGTCCTGGCATATGTGTGCAAGAGACCGCGCCGTGGTTTGACACGGCTTGCCACTGCGCGTACGTCGAGATCAACTGCGCGCTCCAAGGCATCCCTGGCGACAGCCTCGACGCGATGTTGGCCCCGAGTCTCGTGGGGACCGATGTGTTTTACCTTGACGTGCGTCGATGCGCCCTTCCCCACGGCATTTCGCTGGCCACACTGTCGCCGTTTCAAAACCTCTACGCGATCGTCATCTACTTTAGCAGTATGACGGACTGGCCAGTTCGTTCAGAGGACGAGCGATTCCCGTCGTCGCTGACGGTGTTGCATATTCGAGGTAGTCAGCTCACCGAAGTTCCACCTGTCCTCCTCCATTTGCCCCCCTCCATGGCGCTGCTTCGTCTTCACGACAGCCCGATCCGCAGTATTCCCGACAAGTTCTTTACTGCCTGGGCTGGCCTGTCGTCGCTTGTGCTGTCGCAACTGAACCTCACCCATCATTCCATCCCCCCCTTGGGGGCGTTGCCGAAATTGTCTGCTCTCGATATGCGCGGCAACGAGATTACCGAGTTGCCAAGCGAGTGGACAACCGCGTCCAGCCACGTGGACCTCCAGCTGAACAGCCTCAACCGAGTTGATCTGAGCGCCAATCGTCTTCGGCACGGTCCGTGGGCCCTGGCGGCACTGGGCGTCCAGCTCGAGCTCAGCTCCAACTGGATTGCCACGGTTCCAGAATCCCTCCCTGAAGGTGCCTTGTCGACTCGATCCGTCGTGTTAGACGACACGCCGTTCTGCTCCAACGGTGCCGTCGCCAGTTGCGAGCCCAAGTGTTCGCGACTGTGTCTGACCAAAATGATCGGCGACTTACGATGTGATTTGGAATGCTTCTCGGCCGCATGCAAATTCGATGGAGGCGACTGCGAGCCGTTTGGAATGCCCTAAGCGCCACCGCCTCACAGCACCGAGCGAACCACGGGCTTGAACGCGCCATTGCAGCGATGCCCAGTTGGTCGAAAAGTGCTTGATCTCGCAAGTCAGACAATGTAACTAGGACAATGTATTTCTGGTTCCTCCTGACGATGCAAACGTTTCACAATAAAACGGCGATCAGTCCTTGAGCCGAGCTCACGGCACCGATGCCGGGGGCTTCACCTCGGCAACCGAGCGCGACGTCGGTGTACTTGACAACTCTCTTCAAAGGCCCGACGATCGTCCTCGCCATAGCGCGGCACGGACTGTCCGGACTGTTTTATGCCGCCGTGTACGCCGTCTACAAACTCGCAAATCAAAAGGACCTGCGATCCGTCCAAGCGTTCGCGCCAGTCGTCGTCGGTCCCATCATGGGGGCCCTCGCTCTCCTCCACATATACGGGCTCACATGGACGGTCCTGCTTGTGAGGTGTCGCACTACCCCACGCCGCAAGGCGTCGTTCATCCCGACCGTTTTTGTGTCACCGTTGAAGGTGCACTTATCGCAGCCAACCCAACTCATCATCTTCCACTCCATCGACGTTGTGTGCCAGTCGTACCAAGCGTACCGCATGTCGTACTACCTCGTCGATCGCCGCTATGCCATCACGTTTGCCATGGTCGTGAGTGCGTATTGCCTCATCACCCCCTGGTTCCTCTTTGCAAAGCACGCCGTCGCGCGGCGGTCGCTCGTCCTGCTTCTGAACAACTGCCTTGGGTTGGTCCTCAATTCGATCTTTCCCATCTTTCTCTTCTTGATTCAAGCCCTCAAGTTGGTCATCCTGGACCGGAAATTCCAAAACGACGACAAGTTTGTCACGGTCAGCCTCCTCGTCGGCCGATACTTGATGGTGACGTCGCCCACCGACCTCATCTCCAAGATCGCCATGCAGTGTTTGAGCTGCTTGTCGATCCGACGCCTTGTTCAGTCCGTAACAAATCCGATGCCGAAAGGTAAGCCGCCGGCTGTCGATGGACCTTGCACGAACTTGGTCGCTCCTGTTCCAACACCCATCCACAATAGTCTCCAGCTCCAATTTCGCCAGCGTCGGTGGTTTCTATGGTACTTGCTTCTAAACCTCGCGTGGGGCACAACCATTGTCATATTTGCGGCAGCTGCGACGTACTTTCGAGCACAGTGCCCCGACTATTGTGTGCTTGAAACGTCGCCGTGGTTTGACTTGACCTGCAGCTGCGTGTACGTCGAGGTCAACTGCGCCATCCGAGGCATTCCTGGAGCTACCATCGACGAGTTCATCGAACCGACCATCATTGGGACGTCGCTGTTCACACTGAACGTTCGGCG